CGCAATTCGGCGTTGTGTAACCGTCTGAACTCTCCGGTTAACTCATCCTTCTTCGGTCCGAATATTCTACGCAATACTTTATTTTCAAAAACCTTAAGACGCTGCTCATCCCTTAATGTAAGCGGCCAAGTTTCGCACCCATAAAGAACTGTAGGCAAGATAATTGTTTTATAGATTCTAATTTTTAAGTTTCGGGACAAGAGGCGCGAACTAAGTAGTTTTGTCACAGAAAAATAACAAGCATTTCCCGCCTTCAGTCTAACCTTAATTTCTTCTTCAATTTCGTTTTTTCTAGTTATCGTAGAACCTAGATACCTAAACTTATCTACCTGTTCAAACATATTACCATCTATATCGATATCACCAGTAGTATCGCCATTTTTGCAGCTAACCATATATTTTGTTTTATCCACGTTTATTTCGAGTCCTAGTTCTTTACCGGCTTTCATTAACGTTGTCGTATTTAGTTTTATAGTTTCAAGGTCTTCGCTTAACAGTACCAGATCATCCGCATAGCCCAGCACGGATGTTGTCCCACCCAGATCCAACCCTTTCTCGGTACGCATTACCTCCCTAATGGCATGTTCTAATGCCAAATTGAACAGGACAGGCGAAAGGGAATCACCCTGTTTTAAACCCGAACGAACCTCAAATTTTTCGGACAGATTATTACCGATTCTAACTTTATTGAGTGTCTCCGTCAAGCACATCCTGACTAGATTTACTAATTTTTTAGGAATCCCCTGCTCGATTAGAATATTATACAGTTTCTGGCGGTCAATAGAATCGTAAGCCTTTTTAAAATTATATACAGCTGGTGAACAATACCGTTGTACTCCAATTTTTTCTCTAATATTTGCCGTAAAGAAAATATTTGATCAATAGTCGAACGATTCCGTCTAAATCCGCATTGGTAGTCTCCGATAATTTCCTCGGCGTATTCCGTGATTCGACTGGTTAAGATTAATGTAAATATTTTATAACATACCGGAAGGAGTGAAATTCCTCGATAGTTATTACAATCCGTCCTCGGACCCTTTTTGTGAATCGGAATAAGAATAGATTCTTTCCATTCTTCAGGTAATTTCTCATTCACCCAGATCTTTTTAACCAACCGATGTATTTTAGAAACTCCAGCTTCCCCGCATGCCTTAATTAGTTCAGTGGGAATATTGTCGGTTCCCGCTGCTTTATAAGATTTTAATTTTCCGATAGCTAATTCACCCTACCTAATTATACCTTTGTACATGTCTCTTACGTTATTTTCGATTCTATTAGTTTCTATTTCAATTATTTTATTTTTAAGATACTCCCTTTTTTTATTTTTGGGCAATTTTGTCGTTTCGTTCTTTGAGGTTCGGAAGTATTCCAGATTGTCTTCGCTAGGATTATTTAGAGCTTTTAATTTAGCGGCTTTTCGTTTTTCGCACATGTTTAAGCAATCTTCATCAAACCACGGTTTGTTATTCTTATTTTCCTTTTTTCCTAGACACGAGTTACCGACCGCTTTAATATTATCTCTGATCTCTACCCATTACTTGTCAATATCCTCGTGGTCCTCGTCAGGAAGCTCTAAAGCTTCAAACCTATTCTTAACATCTAGTTCGAATTGGGTTCTAATTGATGGATTTTTTAATTTGTCCAAATTAAAATTCTCAAAATCGAAACGGTTTTCTTTTTTCTTTTTTATATTAAGTTTTTGTCGAAGTTTCGCGATTACTAATTCATGATCCGACCCACATTCTGCTCAGCGGTAAGACCGTACATTAATTATAGTGCTTTGCCAGCTATGTTATATCAAGACATGGTCGATTTGATTTCGTGTTTGTGAATCCGGTGATGTCCAAGTATATTTATGAATGTCCTTATGTTTAAACGTCGTACTTTTAATTATCAGGTTTTTCGAGATGGCAAAGTTTATCAGGCGGATCCCATTATCATTACTATATTCGTGCAAGCTTTCTTTACCAATCGTCGGAATATAAACTTCTTCCCTTCCTACCTTTGCGTTCGCGTCACCTATAATTATTTTCATGTAGTTTCGCGGTAGTTTATCATAAACCCATTCGAGTTTATCGTAAAATTCACTTTTGACTTAATCGTCACTGTCTTCGGTCGGACAATGTATGTTTATTAATGCGATTTTAAACCAACGTCCCTGAAATGTAGCTACCGAAATTCTATCACTAAAGAATTGTACGTCCCTCGAAGCGGATAATAATCTACTCCTAATTAGAAACCCGGTACCCAAACAATGATTCCCGCTTCCTCCGTACCAAATAGTTAAGGGAAACATAATTTTATTAATTTGACAGAAATCCCATCTGAGCCTATGGAATTGGTGCAGAATTTTATAATAGCGGTTAAAAGGTCTGTAGGGGGAAATGGCTGAAAAATAAAAGTTATCGTCGTTAAATGATACCTCTGGAGAAAAGCCAGAAAGGGAGGGTAAAGTATAGGTAACAACAGATATAAAATGCGAGTTTAAATCATCAGGTGATACCGGAAAAAATGAGGAAGGGGATCTGGAAGTTTCACAAAAGGAAAGTTTACGTAGTAGGAGTCATTATGATTTGGTATCAGGAGCTGAGGCCTTCATGGAAGTAGATAGATTTATCTAGTCGGATCCTTTTCTCTGCCACGTTACGAAGCACCCTGAACGCTTGGTAGTCATCTGCAAGCCAAGTCCGTCTGAAGCGTCTTTGAGCAGCGTCGCGTCTCTTCTGCAGATCTTTAATTTCCTGACAAATCCAAGGAGCAGGCCAGGGACGAAAGGTATAGGTTTTGAGAGGAGCGTTGGTATTGAGGATATTGGTAGTGATAATATCAACTACAGAGTAGGAATATATTCCATTCAAATCTAATGTTTCTAGGTCAGGTAATATTTTTTCTCGTGTAAGGGTATCTAGATGGCGGAAAGTGATAGTTCGTGGCTGCATTGGAAGAATTCGGATACTATACGTTATTTGTATCAGACCGTGAGATGATAGAAATAATACTGGCAATTGAGAAGCGGAGAAGAGGTTTATGCAGAGTCGATGATGTAGAAGTCTAGCCACGTATCGGATCTGCTAGTATGGTGAGAGGTGGAGAAAGTAACGATGAATAGGTGAAGCGAGAAAAATATATTTTCTAGATAGGATTTGTCATTGTTAGAGAGGAAACTGATATTGAGGTCACCGGAGATAATTATTCTGGGATAGAGGAGAACTAAGTTGAATAGGGTTGATTTGAAGGAAGTGTCAAATGGAACGAGAGAAGGACGATATACCATGACGTAAACGATAGAAAAAAGTATTGCAGGAATTTGTCATAGCGGACAGAAAGGGATTGAGAGTGAACATGACAGATGATTAGGGACGTGAAAAGGATTTGGAGGGAAACAGTCAGTGTTTGGCAGTGAAAAATCAATAGACAAATAGAAAATACAAAAAAAGCATTTACAGTAAATAAGTATAAAGAGTGTTTCAGAGTTAAGCGGCAAAAATTAACTAAGGACCTCAAAACAAGAAAAAATATCCTGTGAAGGTATGTCCGCAAACGCTGTGTTTAGGAGATATTCACACCTACATTTTCGTTGTTATGAATTAATTACGTTAAATGAAATAAATGAAACCTATTTATTTGTTCTAACTACTTTATTAATTAAATGTAAACATTAACATTCATATTAAATGTTGTTCAAAGTGATTTCCACTTATGAGTGGATTATGAGTGAGGGATGTGGGATATGATTGAGCAAGTCCGTCCAATGACCTTCATTCGTTGCAAAGAAGCAAAATTGAATCATATGAAACAATAACACATAACCAGTGCCGTTCTGCCACTGCTGTTGAAGAAAGATGCTGAGCCTGTCTTAATGCTCAAGGAAATCACTTTGAACAACATTTAATATGAATTTTAATTTTTACATTTAATTAATAAAGTAGTTAGAACAAATAAATAGGTTTCATTTATTTCATGAATGAACGTAAATGCCCACATCTCCCGACGATCAATTGGTACCTTGAAACTATTGCATCGCTTCTGCCATCTCCTACCTACTCCCACATATAGAGTCCTAGTACCTTCCCTCACCTTGATTACGGTTGCGCGGAGCAGGGTGGCCTCTCGTTTATGTATTGTTTACATAAATGTAACAGTGCTCTATCCAGGGTGGGTAGCGCAGGTGCTCTGGGCGCCATTCAAAAGAGATTTGAATTCACTAAGTATTAAACATAAAAGTCCAACTAAACCAATAATACAAAATACATTCAAATAATCTCGCGATTTATGTTCCAAGTGAGCTATAGAGAACAAGTACCCGAAAGGAATCCGGGCGGCATAGTACTTGTAAACCTCCCTAGGAAATCATTTATATATATCCTATACCCTTCAAAATATCACTTTGACGTTCTTATATTGAAAATGAAGTCGGAAAAACTGCAGGAAATTATTTCGATCTGGACTGCACGGATTACGAGTGGTTCACAATCACTTTGGTCACACTTGTTCATGAAACGCCATTGTGTATTTTATGCCAATACTGTCGGATTTAAGAATTTCCAATAGTGCATCTAGTTTATGTAATTTTTAGATTTTTTTCGATATCCATTCGATTCCAGGTGATTTGAGATCACGCGTCAAGTTTATGTAAAATTTTGGGTTTCTTATACAAGGGACCACTATTTTCTAGTCGGGTGCTTTTTATGAAAATTCTGTCAGATTAAAGATTTATAGATTAAATCTTAAATTCGGCATATTGTGAAAATTGAACTTGTGATATTTTTAAAATCCTTATAGCCAAATTGTATAAATCGAATTCAAGTAGCGATCGAATTTAAGATACAAACTATCTAAAAAATTCTGTTTTTGTGGAAAAAGATTGTCTTAAAATCGAATTAATACAATACTATTGAAATATAATATTATTTTATATTTGTATGAACGACATCACTCCAAAGAGACAAGAGACGGTTATCTTCTAAAATACCTCTATATGAATCGATTGTATAATCCCTCTCAATTAGTTTCTATGTAAACAAACTGTGAAATAACAATTCTTGTTTTGTTGCTTTTACCCTCTTATTATAATATGTTATTCATTTCGTATACTTATAAACTGTTATGGGTTATGTAAATGACAAGAAAAGTTACAATCCTTTTGTGTTTTTCGATGTTAAGATTGGACAAGAAGATGGTATTTATTTTCTATTATGATTATCAAGTTTTATATAATTATAATTATCAAATAAATACACTATTCCAAACCTAAATGTATTAATATTATTGATTTTTATATGTATAGAAGCTCAAATAGAACTTTTATTTTGGTAGTTGATTTTTTATCATGCTAGAAGCTGTTTATTTTTTTACTTGCTTATTATTATCTCTTCTTGCATTTGGTTTTTTTTATTTTTCTGTATCAAAGTAATAAAATGCGCATGTTGATACAGAAAAATTGTGATATTCTTTATAAAATATACATCTTTCTGTCTATTTTAAAAAGAACATTGATATTTGTTCTTAATTATCATCTACGAGAGTTGTAAATTGATACTTTTTTCTAATAAGTATGTATCTTAAATTGAAGCTATTTAAAAGAATATTTACTTATACTGGTATACTCTTTTAAATAATATTTAATAATTTTTTGTTGTATTTTAGTTATGTTTGGTTCTAAGGTTTGTTATAAATGTTATCCCAATTACCAAATAATTGTTCTCTATTGTCAGTCAGCGTTTTCTCATATTTTTTTATTTTCTTTGCATGATATATTGATTTATGATTAAACTCTAAATCATAATAATTATATATTCCAACATTAGTTTTTCTTTGTTAATTTTAGTGATTTATAAGTGTTTAATATTTTATTCCCTTTTATAATATTAATAACACTATATTTATTCTGGGACAAGTCTCTTTAGAATAATATACAAAGATTGAAATGTGGGCTTCGGAGCCTCAGAGAATTATCACAAAAAATTAAAATGAATAGACTTAATAATACAAAGGATACTGTATGTCCAATGGTATTCTTTGATGATACAACCCACCAAGTGAAACTGATGAAGCTCAACTCGTATTTCCAGAAAGTTATATGAAAAATATCATGACTCACCGACTGGTAGGCACTGCGTTGGAAAAACACTTTCAAAAATAAGTACCAAGTTTTGCCTGTCAAGATAAGTATTAGTCAGTTAATAACATAAAGAATTGCGTGGAGTGTCAATGTTTCAAGCCTACTAATTATAAGTCTCAGGGTTTCATTCACACCAGACCATCAGTGGAGCATTTCGAAACCCTGGCAATCGACCTCTTTGGATGTTTACTGACAACAAACTTGGAAAAAGTGGATCCTTGTAATAGAAGATATAGCTTCATGTTGGATCGAGTTGTTCTCACTAAAAGATGAATCAGTTGAATGCGCAAAAACTCCTACAAACGAGATATTTCTGATTTAACGCCTATCGCGTAACATCATCTCAGATAACGGAACACAATTTATCAGCAGGCTTATGAAATAAGTTAGATCCATTTTGCTCATAGACCAGAAACTCACGTAGCTTTACCATCCAGAAGCAAATCCTGTCAGACTACAGAACAGAGTAGTCTATGGTATAGACCCTTTTTTATCAAATTATTAACATCTGCCTGAAACTTCGCAAATATCTTCATTTGATCATAACCTACAACTATTTTATTTACGAAAATTCTCAGAATCGGGGCATTTTCAATCTGGAGATTGGCAAACTTTATTTATTTATTTAGGCATTAAAAACTCGTAAATACCCATTTGATTTCCACTTTGATCATAAGATGATTTTATCACGAAATCGACAAAAAAGGTGGCCTATAAAAATATTGGGCTGCTTAGCGTGATCTACACTTCAAAATAACGAGGTTATATAGGCCATATTAATGGTAATCATATCAATAATACATTGTGAATGCTTCCAGTGTTTTGCAAAAAATACTTCTCTTAGAACCCTACTTGCTACAGACTATATTTATCTTAAGAATAACAACAATGTTCTGATATTGTGAACATTAAGTCTAGCAGATGTTTACGAACCGGGATTAATGTACTTACATGAGAAGTTTACCTAAACAATTCCTTCAGAAACTTGTTCAGGGTGCTTAGTGAGTAAACATACCTTACCAGAAGTCTTGATGCCTAGATATGGAGAGGGGGGAGGAAAGGTCACAATTTTCAGGTTTCTGCTTATATCCTGAAATAGTGAATTTTCGAAAAAAATTCATTTTACCTCATATTTTTTATCAAACATTCCTTCATACCTTCTAAAATATTCATCAGAGAAAGAAATACATGTAATAGAAGTTGTATAGAATTGAATTTCCTTTTAGAATATATATACATCTACAAATTAATCTCCAACCAGTCAACACTTACAGCAATTTTATATGTGATTTTCAGAAAAACTGATTTCATCATATTACTGACTCACAACTTTTGTTCATTTCTCTAATAATATGTGTCGCCACACTTTAAAGCTAGTTATTAAATCAAATTTAAGAAAATCATGTTAATATTTCTTCTATTTCATTACGTTAAATACATAAAATTATATTGTATTTTAAGTTTTCTCATGGAAACCTCCTGCGAGGATTAGAAGCCCCAGCTTGCATACATTGCCAAGTTACCAGAACAGTGAAGTATAAACTGTTAGAGTGTAGTAGCTATACTGCTTCAAGAAAAATCTACAAATGGGAACGAAATGGAAGATATCGTTCAAGATGTAGGAAAAGAAATAAAGGAACTGTTAAAATATTTAAAAGAAATAGATTTTTATCGAAGAATATAAAATTGACACAATAAACCAATGACCCGTTGCGGTAGAGGCTAAATAAATATAATTCTCATTGTTATCACTGTTCTCAACAACTTCTCAATATTACACTCACAACTTTTTATGAATTCGTGTTTTCAACCTCTTGGGATGAAAGTCCTGGCCAGTGTTGTTAGTCCATGGCATCTTCACCCGCAATAGTGGGTGGTTCTTGCTGAATGGGCTCTTCATCGTCGTCTTCGGCAACAGGCATTTCCCTTGGCGATGAATGCACACTGCAGAACAGGTCAGCATTGCTTTTCAGTATCCACATTTGCCAATTACACAATCCTTAGTGATATAGTAGCCGACATTTTTATCATTTCTAAAACTAATGAAATATATTTCTACAGAAAAGGTGAAAACACCAAGTGCAATGATTTTATTTAGTTTTCTTTAAATTAACACATTTTCAAGTTAAGATTGAAAATTAATTAAAAGCAACATGGGCTGTAACAAGTTATAAAACAAGTTAAATACAATGTTACCAACAGTTTCATTCATTTTTTTTTACTACCAAAGAAAGAGATTAATCCAAACAATGATAATGATATATAAATTATTATTATTATTATGTATATAATAATAATTATTTTATCTACATAACAGGGTGGCGACCAACCTGGAAAAGTCAGGGAATTTTTTTAATTCCAAAATTTTCTTTTTAAATTGGAATTAATGCACTGTGGATTAATATAACGATCTTAAGAGACCTGGTAAATTTCGTTGTTATAATGTATAATTTTTATTGACGACAGGACCATCTTTATATTTATATCGTTATATAACCTATATCTATCCACTTGTCACTGTCAATAACGGCCTGGCCTTATATTGGAATTAAACAAGGGTAATGAATAAAATGTAGCAAAATGAGTTAAAACAGTGCTTTTTAAAAAAGAAAAATATAACAATACTTTTTACTATCTGTAAGTATACATCTATGCGTTGGTTAACTAAAGGAGAACGTTGGTAGCTTCACATAATTCATGCTTAGGTAGAGTCATAATATGCGAATGAGCAAAATGTCGTTGGACCGCTCGGACTTTGAAACGCATTTTGGTCCTTAATTTTGTGATGATTGTTATGCATATCAACAGAATATATAAAAGCTATGTAATATGTTTATACATCCTAGTTCTGTTATAAAATAGTTAAATTAGCCGAAAATAAAGCATTGAAAAGATAAAAAGCACTTAGTTTGTGAACGACAGATACTACAAGGGAAATACGACTTCGATTCTCTGAGCTTTAACAGCCGTTTAATCTTCTTACATATTAACGTGTCTGTATGAGGTACATACGAAACTTAATGCTCTTTCAAATTGATTATATTGAATTTCTTCGATAGATGCATAGATTATGAGTTTTGGGAGAAAATCGACAAAAATGGATTTTTCTTGTGAAAAATGCAAACAGTCTATATTCTCTTACTGCTCCCCCGTTAGCCCTACATCAAAAAGCTATGCATAAAATTGATAGTAAATTTTATCTTCTTTAACGTTCTATAATAATTTCGATAAAATGCACAGTTTCGGAGTCATGTCCAAAAAAATTTTTAAAAAGTTCCGAAATTTTGATGTTTTTGCGTATATCTTGATTCGCAATGGAACATTTCGTTCAGGAACGTCTAATCCAGATCACTATCCCAAAAAAAAACCTAAGAGAAACCGACTATTTGAATTTTTTTTTTCAACCAACTACTATCGGACTGCCCTAATGTGATGACTGACATATTCATATCAAAATTTTAGCTGTCAGTTTTTCCGTTAAATGGACCGTCAAATTTCGCCTCCTTAATTTAAATTTTCGTATAGAAAGCAAGTTTTTTCAACTGACTGACCGAAATTGTGTGTTCAGATGAGGTTTATCTAGAATTTAAAATGGTTCCTAGCTATAAGCCCTTCCCTCAAATTGTCGGTAGCTCTAATAGCGGAATATGAGAAGAACCAATTTTGTCGTGAGTAGATAGGTAGTCGTTGTTTTTTGGATATAATTGATTCATTCAGCATATCCTCGATTAGGTTCGTAATTTTTCCAAATTGTAAGATTTATGTTGAATTCATGAGCCAAGATATTAGATTCTTCAGTCTCCAGTCGGCAACGTGTATAGAATTTTCCTTATATCTTGAACTATTTCCTCTTTTTTCGTTATTCTTATTAAACTACTAAACAGAAATATGAATTTAACACTAAGAGTGGGAATGAAATTGGCCCTATAAATGTGATTCTTACATAGAGGACGAATGAAATAAAATATTGCCTCGATAAGTGAGATATAAACACGAAGGTTTTTAGGAGTTCAAATGTCGCCGCTATATACGATCATTTTTTTCTAAAAACTCTAAGA